CGGTGCCGTACGCTTTAGAACGGACGTATATATTACAAAACAGTGTTAAATGTTGAGTGGAGTAATCTGATGTTCCAGTTAATATGTGACAAATATTTCCCAATAATGGCTTGGCAGCAGGATGAGCACAGTGGTACTCCAGCCGGCAGGATGGTGGATTGCTCCACTTCTCAGCAATTCAAACCATCTGTACTTGGGGAAGCAGATCCTGTAAAACCCTCCCTACCTCTGCAGACTCAGCAGCTCCAGAGGTTTTCTTGCTTATATAATTTTTCAAAAAATTTTCTTTTGATATTTACCCTAATTTTACACCCAAGGATAAGTGTCCTCCAGCTTGTGCTGGTACTTTCTGCGGTTTCCAGCGACTTGAAATATCTGCCTAATTTTTACTGGTGTAAATGTTGCCTTCAAGTGTCACTCGCTATCTGCCTTCTCCCAGCGTTGTCTCCCCAGGTAATTAGCACAACAGAATTTCCCTAATTGCTGGAGATCAAGGAGGAGAGGGCTCTGCTGGCTTTGTAGTCCTGACAAATGGCAGATGTTTTCCAGGAGGCCAAATGGGATGTGATGAGCTCTGTTAATGCTGCCTCTTTGTTTCATGCTCTCGCGTGATAGCAGCTCTTACTTATTCCATCTTCAGGATCTGAGCCTCTAGTGCCACGTTTCTGAGCTATGAGTCCTTCAGGACAGTTCAATAGATACTGAAAAATATCAAATGAAAGCAAATATCTCATTTTTAAATCAGCAGTGATCTCTGCTTTTCTGAGTTGCTTTGCATCTACTGACTATAAACCTCTGTAGCATTCCTTATGATCACCTCAAGATATCCTTCTCTGACAACTGAAGCCATTAAAACTCAGTATTTTTCTGTAATGTCTATGATTTAGACTGAGACAAGGAGCTTTGCATCTTCAGGTTTTAAAATGTCTCCTGAATCCCTCTTGCCTCAATTTCCTGTACCCTGCCAGTCACTTTGCTCCAACAGAGTTTGCTTTCTCCATCTGCTCTTGCCTGCAGGAGTCTGGGACATCGGAATTACAGATTAGCATAAACAGGATCTTTTTGCACTAAACTTACAAATGCAATCAGAATTCTCTCTCCTGCACAGAAAAACCTGTGCCAGGATTTTAAAAACTGAGCCAGAAGCCAAGTGTTAAAG